TTTGTGGTAAAACAGTTGTCAGAGCGTGTGGAGGACACCAAAGTACATGATGTCAGCCCTCAGGAAGGCGGTGTTTACATCCTCCATACTGTCACAATGTGCATGAATCTCCCGTCCATAAGCGCTTAAGGGATTCCATGTGTGCACAATGAAAAAATAGAGAGATGAACTGCAAACACTCTGAAAGGCAGGTTTGACCTGTTACATAGACTTGAGCAAGGAAGGGAAGAATGAATTTGAAAGACCATCTTTGCAGATTTATTTAAGGTTTGATGAAGAAATAAGTTACCTGAAGGAGAGAAGTTGCTGCTTTCTTCAACACCTACTATTGGTATTTGGAAAGTTATACACATTTTGGTTCATAAGTCAAATTTGAAAGCAACAAGAGTTGAACCAACTAAAACAGCACGTCACAGAACCCAGTCAAATACAATGACTAGTAGACAAATCTAAATAAAAGACAACAAAGTAAGAAGTTACAACACAAAAAGAGGGGGTGTTAGGATGTCAAGCTCCAACTATGAACAAGAAAACATTGGTCTTCAGCGGTCTGAGTAGTTCTAACATGGAAAAGTAGACTGTGTTAAAGATTAGGAGCAGCTACTTTAAAGGCCTGCTCGCCTGTATTTCTCTTTCGTGATCTCAGATCATCCACGAGCATCTGGTTTGTTGATCTCGGTGTTAGTGATGGTGCAAGAGTCCTGCTAAATAAGGTACTAAAAAGTCATTTAAAAGCTATAAAACAAACTATAAAATCTAAAAATCATCTCTGAAACAGACAGGTAGCCATTGGAAGAAGGCCAGTACTGTTATATGATCATGAAGAGATGACTGGTCTGGTTAGATCCATCCAGAACTTACCAGCTTTTTTAAAGGTCTGTTGTTATGGCTGCAGAGTTGACCAAGTGGTTGAGTTTTATTAAGTTATCATGACCATGCTTTAAATAAGTGTTCTCCAGAGTTAAAGTCTAGTTAATGTCTCGTGAGGACTTTGTCATTTATAAAAAACAACACTGTCAACGGCTACGGTCACAATTTATTTATCTTATCTTTATTTATCATCTTAGACCCAAACCACTTCAACTGGAGGAGTTCTACTCTCTAAAACGTGGTTCATACCTTAAAGACATATCAACAATGCAGAAGGCAACACCTGCAACTGGTCTGCTTGGAGCTAACATGCCATGCGAACACAGCCTGATTTATGCAAAGATAATGCTGCAGGGAAACTCAATGTAACAGGCTGTAATAATCTGGCCCACTCTCATAATGCAAGAGCCAATATTCTGTCAATGCAGCCATGTGCCGTTTTCTCATTTTCAAAGCAAACCAGGCCGTGTTTAGACTCAATTAGTTCCAATGTCTTCCTTCTTTTCTGCAGAGCCGTCAACCGTTGTTCAACATTTATTAGCTCCAAGTCCAAGACGACCTGCTTCGTATCAGCAGCCGTTGTTTGAAGTGCAAGAAAAAAAACTCCAAACTGCGAACCAGCGTTTTGTTGGTGTAATTGCAGTGAAAAGCAGATGTCAGAGCGCAAGTATGAATGCTAACAAAAGGAATATAAAAGAAGTTTAGGGATGAGTGCAGACACTCCCTGGAGGGAACTCATTTATAGCCCTTGTATTGTATTCTCTCAGTCACTACACACAGCTTGTGATTGGCTGTGATTGTAGAAGCGTAGGTCAGCCAGTAAAGTTGCTCTTTTAGGTTTGTATTTGTAGACAAATGTAATAATTCAAGGTAAAAGTGGTTCAGTGGTGCAGTGATGCCTGATACTACCCCTAGTAAAGCCATAATGTTTGAAATTATTAATGCATAGTGGCTTTAAATGTTCAGTGTGTAACATTTTAGGGGACTTGTGTGCAGAAATCAAATAGAATATTTGCATTTATGTGGAAATAAAATGCAGAAAATGCAATTTTTTGTGTTTTCACTACCTTTAAATGAGCCCTTTACAGATAAAGAGAAAGTTTTTCGCGGCCATCATTGCTCTAAAAAAGGTTGCAGTTCTTAATGTCACCACGAGATGTCACCGTATTATGCACACTGGACCTTTAATGACATGAAGCTTCTTTAAAGTCCTGCTGATATGCTGCCTTATAAATTCACGTTGTCATTTTTTTATTGTGACATTTAGCCTGTCGGTATTATGGCGCCATGTCTAAGACTTTACCATTACCATGTGACAATATTTATACCATGGAAAGCATTGGCCTATAAAATGATAAGATCATACTTTGCCATCACAATAAATAAATCACATTTCAGCCCTTTGATTTGAGAAACTGTTCATGAAAACATGTTGGTTTGTGACTCCATTAATCATTACAGTTACTGACCCAAAACCAGAAAGTGTCAGAGTTTACTGTTTGTGGTTTAAAGTGATTTATTTTTATGTATGTGGAGTAACAATGGCGCAGGAAGATGCAAGTACAAGGGACTTCACGGAATATAAAATGTAAAAGCAGACGCACTGGGAGGCTGCAGGGTCAAACAATTACTGTACATGTACATTGTCAACGGTCTGTTTATTTTGGAGCTGCAGAGCACATTACAGCACAATGAGGTCGTAAAGAATAGTACGTCCCTTGTGTGTGCACATGATTGACTTCATGTATGTGATATATGTCTTCCTTAAGTACATCTCTGTTCTGTGCAGGCGAAAGAAAAACAGACAGATTCCAGTTTCACTGACACAGCCCGAGGAAAAACGATCCATTTGTGGACAGAATGCTTTAATCTATAGCTCAGTCTTAAGTAATCCAATATGTGCATCTGCAGCCAGAGCGCCGTAACAGGATGATAATTAGATCTCGAAAGTTTTAGTCCCTGACATGTGCCATGAGTCATACAATAAGGCCTTATGCAATGATGTTTAATGTTTTCTTTTCCCTGTCATCTCCCTGCACATGCACACACACACACACACACACATATGTACAGACACCCATTTTCTTCTGTTCACAGTTATTTCCTGCTATCAAATGATTGTCCAGAGGAGATGGAAATATTTGCTTTAACACACAAACAGACACATGCATGAGCACACACACATTTACAGACACACAATTTCAGTTTCTGAAATCAACCACAAAGTGAATCTTTTTGACAAGTCTAAAATAAGAATTTCTATTTCTGCTCATCTGGAATCCAGCAGAGAGACTGATGTGATGAAAAAACAGTTAAAATGGGGAGTTTGTTTGATTTTGTCGTTTAATATATCACAAAAAACTGTCAGATTAACTCAACTTTCTGACCTTTGTGGCTTTGATTTGGTTGTAAATATAGAATATCATGAATCAAATGATACAGAATTAATATTAAAATGCAAAAAAAATCGTACTTTGTTTTTTTTGGCATTACACGGTTTCCATATCTGCAGTCTTTGCTGCCCTCTGCTGGTCAGTTTCTTCCTAAAATTAATCTTTTAAAAATTCAATTTATTGGATTCTTTAAATATAGTTTTCTAAACCTCACCAGTATTGGTTGCGCTTTTAGATACTGAATTTGTAACTTTTATCAGTTTAACTAGTTTTACTCTTATAGGATGTATTTAATACAGTTTTATTTACTGTCTGTAATTGAGTGGATTTTACTGTTGTTTTCCTGCTTTTAAATGTACAGAAAAAGTACATTAATATGAGTTGTTTTTTAAAAACAATAAATATCATCAATATTTCTTACTTCATAGTACTTCATACTTGAAAACTTGCCAGCTTTTCCCACAGAACATTTTCTTTTCTTTCATATTTTCCATCCGCCTTCCTCTTTTCCATATTTTTTCTTCCTCACTGTTATTTCTCCATCCCACGTTTGTTGTCATTCCATCTTTTCTTTCTCTCTCCAGTATTTTCTCTGTTGCTCTTTTAAATAAAGTGGAGATTCATTATCTGCAGCTGCAGTACTGGTTATATTTCTGGTCTCAGAGGTGGCAGTAATTCCTGAGAGGAGATCTTGGCAGGCTTTAGGCCAAAATAGGTGCGGTTGCAGATCGTGATTTAATTATCTTGATATTTCATCATCTCAGGATTAAACAAACACAAAAAGAAAAGTAAAGAAGCACCTACTGGTAATTTTGAGAGGTTTGGTTTGGCTTCTACACAGCAGCTCAGCTGGATTTACAGCTACAGATATTGAAACAGCCCGTTTGGAACAGCACTAAAACCAGAGATGATCTGCACGGTACATTCTGTGCACATATCAGACTTAGATTAACTTGTCATAAAGGGGTACAATATGGAATTTCACATTTCAGTGACAGCTAAAATCAGGCCCAGATGAGGAGTTTTACTGTATTAGCTGTAACATGGAGTTTATGCTGCGTTGTTTGTGTGTTGTTGTGGTGCTGGTACCTCATATATAAATTTGTCATGTTGGGTTTTAGTTAGGGCAGCAAGGTGGCGCAGTTGGTAGCACTGTTGCCTCGCAGCAAGAAGGTCGCCAGTTCGTGTCCTGATGGGGGCACCGGGTTCTTTCTGCGTGGAGTTTGCATGTTCTCTCCGTGCAGCGTGGGTTCTCTCCAGGTTCTCCAGCTTCCTCCCACACAGTCCAAAAACATGTTGAGGTTAATTGGTGATTCTAAATTGTCCGTAGGTGTGAATGTGAGTGTGCTTGGTTGTCTGTCTCTAAGTGTAGCCCTGTGATAGACTGGTGACCTGTCCAGGGTGTCTCCTGCCTTCACCCTCAGTCAGCTGGGATAGAGTCCAGCCCCCTGCGACCCTAGTGAGGATTAAGCGGTGTATAGATAATGGATGGATGGATGTAAAATTGCTCTTAAAGGTTATAGCGAAACAAAATGTAGTTGTTTTTGGTAACTGATGAGAGGAAAATGTCAGCTGTATCACGTGAGGCATAAATGTCGTTCTAGAAAGACCTTAAGAAGATATTATTTTGGTTTTCTAACTGCATATTTTTAGTTGGTCCCACTTGCCTTTAGCATTAAGGTAAAAGCATAAAATATGATCCAAAGGTTGACCACCTGAATCTGAATTCTTTCTCAGGGAGGTGCAACCTCTAACCTGAACATGAACCTTTATGCCACCAAGAAGACAGCAGCTGAAGGTATGCTGGACATCGCTCTGTTCCTGGCAAACATCACACACATGAAGACTGTCATCGAACAGGGAGCTGGATACAGGTATGACGAGGAGGAACATTTTCCATGTCTGCAAAGTTCTACAGGACAGAATTTACAGAAGAGAGAAAGCAGAAATTATAAACATTTGTTGTAACTGAGTTTCATTTGGTTTTGCTGCGTCCTGTATGATCACCTTTACTGCTGTCTGAAGCCATACTTGTTGAATGTATCATTTATTCTACTTTTCTTCTGATTCTCAGGTACTACGCTGCTGTTCTGACGCTCATTTCCTTCTCCCTGGCTCTTCAGATAGTAGCTGGAGTCCTGATCATCATAATCGGTGAGCTTTACAAAATAAGTCAAATTAAAGGTCCTTCTGCTTCATAAATCCATCTTCCATGTTTTAACCACTCATATTAACGTATTAATTCACTGACACGTTGTTTTGTTGTGAAAATCTGATTAGTGCAGGAATCCTGTGGTTTTAGATATAAAGTCTACAAGCCACCGAATGTATTCCCATTACAGCACAAAGTAGAAAAATACTGAATGTTTCTCTGCTTTTCTTTTGTGTAGTTTCTTGTTCTTGTTTTGTCGTTATTTTTTTGTATGTATTTGCACATGTGTGTTGCAGCCCGGCGAGACATTACCGAAGAGGTCAACCAGAAGCGTCTGGACAGCCTGAACAACATGACAACCATCATCATCTTCCTCATCTTCGTCACCAACATCTTCATCTCCGTCTTTGGGATGGAACGCACCGGCCTTTTTGCCAGGATGCATTTCTGACTCTCTGATGTAGGAAATGATTCTCTTACGTGGGTCCGAATGGAAATGATCCGACTCTGGTCACACAAACACACACATCTGTGTAACTCACTGTTCTACTCACTGACTGTACTAACCTACCACAGTGCTTTGATCTTATTCAGCATGAGTGGAAGGGACCAACTAGATGTGTGTGTCTGTCTCTATTTTTCTGTCTGTGTGCTTGTGTTCTGGTCATCTGTGTGTGTAACGTATGAATGAAATATCCATGTGTGTGTTTCTATGTGTGTGTGTGTGTGTGTGTGTGTGTACATGTGTGCAGCCCGTTGTGAGCTGACCCTCCTCCCCTCCTGTCGTCGGTGGTTAAACTGCCTCAACAATCTCATCACCGGCATCATCTTCCTCACGCTCATCGTCAACATCATCAAATCTGCCTTCGGCACACAACGCAGCTGTTTACTGCGATGGCTTTTCCAGCGCTTCTATCTATGAGACACACTTAGTAGACATGTGTATGTACGTTCAACATAAACGTATTTAATTAATGGCATTTTACGTGAAAAGCTCCATACAATGCAGTTTTCCACAGTGTAATTCTTGATTAGACCATTAGATGGCGCCAAACTACAAATGATTAAAATTCCACACATGGCAGCTTTGATCTTTATACATTCATACACAAATACTGAACAAACTATTGTTTATTTCTGTACCAAGACATGCCTTTAGGGCTCATTTCCACATAGCTCTGTGTACCTATGTAAGTCAACCAGAACTCCATTCATTGCTAACTATGATGTCCGATGTGTTTGCGGCCAGAATTTGCCTCAAGCACGTAAAAAAAATGTGCACTTTTGCGGTGTATTTTGGACAGACCACTCTGTGTGCCTTGAATTTGAAGACATAAACTAGCCAACAGGCAAACAGGCTGTTCAGTTGCTTTACTGTAAATGCATAATTTAAAAAAGTGAGCTTAACACATGCTAGCTGTGTAATGTACACAGTGCTTTAGTGGCTCATACATGTTTTAACAAGATATATAGCAAATCTTGCTTCACAACTGGCAGGCTAACCTCCTCTCTAATTCTTGTTACGTGTTGTTGGTCCTGTTTCTGTTACATCAATGCTCCATGTGCATATTTCACAAAACTGGATGGCAAAAACTAATAAAATCTGTTGTTCATGTGTTGAACAGCAGGGGGCATAGTCAAAATATTACAGAAGATCAAACAAAGCTATGTGGAACTGAGGAGTTATGCATGTAAGCATCCACGCATTTACACTGAACCTCGTTCTGCATAAGAACTAAACGTGGACGCTAACTGACAGTGTGTCAGTCTGAAGCTAACACTGGCTAACTTAGCTTAGCATAACGCCTGTAAGCCCACCATGCTTTCTATAAACTTGTGAGCTTTTGTAGGTGCTGGTAGTCACCTACAAATAGTAATAGTCAAGTTTACTATTCTTTACTTATAAACCCACTAATGGCTCTTTCAAACTTAATGCAACAGCACTGCTCTCAAACACATGATTTTCAGTGGCTTGCAACAACAGTTTCGCTCTGCATCAAGCAAAGTGCTGTTCCCGCTGATGTAGAAGCAAAAAAATCAAATTAGTTGACCTTTTACCCCAGAGGCAAAATGGAGGACAGGCTGATTTGTCTCTGAATAGCCTATGAAACAAATTTCTTTTATAAATTAGATTGAGGGAGAAAAGCCTGATCTTGGAAAAAGGTTTCCATCCAAGTAGGCATGTCCGGTATGTTTTAGCCTCTTTATGGTGGTTTTAACAGTCAGGTAGCTTGTTGTAGGTCAATGTGCAGTTTGTGTTCATGGCTCTACAGACTGTTAGAAGAACTTTCATTCACATATTTTATTGGCGAAGTGATGTAATCCTGATGGAAGTTTTGTGAAATCCACCTATAACGCTCTACCATCCTTGACTTCCCACAGCAGTGCACTGACAGAAACGTGAATTAGCAAAGTGGCTAAGCCTAAACTTAAAGGTCCCATATTGTGTTCCCTTTCAACAAGTAATCAAAGCCTCACATGTCCACATAGTAGTTCAGTTTTTCAGCTCAAAATACTGCCAAGATTTCACCATGACTGTATAACGTCTAGTTTTAGGGACGTTTCAAACAGGCTGTTGGGTTTCTGCCATGTCAGCCCCCTTCAGGATGAAGACGCTGCCTGCCTTTGTGATTGAGCTTTCAAGCTGGGAGACTAGAACTGTTGTTGGAGGGGGGGAAGGCAGCAGCTTTTACTTCACCTTCCAACCATAAAACACAATGTAAATGGATTTTCACCGTATGGGGCCTTTAAAGTGACTGAAGGGCAAAGACAGGCCTGTAGCTGACCTGCACACTGTAGCACTATGCACTGAGTTCTGCTTCTGAGTTAGAAGATTTATTGCTCACCCTTACATGGTCTTCTCCTATTACAAACCCATACCAATTGTCCATAAATCCCCAAAAGGTCAAAAACTCAACTGGTACAACACCTGAGTGACAGCTCCTAGTTTTATTGTGATTACCAACACAAAGGGGAAACCTACTGGGCCAAAATGTGTCCTATGTACACTTTGACAGTAGAATTATCTACTTTCAACAAAATTTCCACTGTCTCTAAGATGCTAAACCTTAGTGACCGCTAGATGTTGGCTTTAAAGTGGCAGTTGTACGAATACTGAGCTCTTCAATCAGTATAAACTAGACGGAGGGTGGAGGGCTGTGTACCTGAGCTGTGCTGCTGCTTGTGTTACCGTTTGCGTGGGATAATTGTGAGCATACGTGAGAATGCCTGCATCATCTGTATGTGTGTTTGTGGATGGGTGTGTTTGAAATGTTTGAAATTGTGTGTTTGTGTGTCTGTCTGCGTGCACGTGTGTGTGTGTGTTGTAGCCCGCAGGGACCTGAACGTGGTGTCCAATCAGAAACGACTCGACTACCTGAACAACGTGGCGACCGGCGTCATCTTCGCCACCACGGTGATCAACTTCTTCGTCAGCTTCTTCGGATCCAAGAGGACCGGCTTCTTCCGCTGGCTGTTGGCTCGACTCCACTTCTGACGCAAACACACACAAACGTATTCACATGCTGACATGACACATGGATCAAGAAACGATGGATTCCGAGACAAACAATTCACACATGTTCAAGCATCACATCCTATTTCTCATCCCGACTTTAAAAAGTGTTTCACGTTGTAATCCAACTAAAATATTTTCACTTTAACCAACTGTGATGTAAATATGCATTATTTCATTTGCTGCAGTAATGTGTGTGCATGTTTTTCATAATTTGTAGGGTTCTTTTCTATATATTTTACATGTTTTCCCCCTTGTTTGGTAACCGGTAAACTTATAAAACCTGATTTGTTTTTTTTTTAGTTACTTGAAAACATGTTTGACATAGTAAATGATTTTTAGTTTCAATATCAGATGAAAACCAGAGTGCATATGTGTGTACATGCTCTCCTCCAGAAAGCTGAATAAAGGTAGTGATTTAACAGAAATCTGATTATTGCGTTTCTACGACTATTCACTGGAGTGAAAATGCAAAGTAACCAAATGGGCATGAAATGAGTCTATTATTACAAACTGAGGTGTGCAAAAGTGTCCATGCATGCAAGATAAGTAACTTTCCCCCTTTATTTTATGCACGAATATTTGAAGTTAATAAAAATGAAGCACATCCTGGACAAACTCTCTCAGCTGGTGTAGTCTGAACCCTCTCTTTCTCTGTTGTGTTTATGTGTTTGTGTGTGTGTCGTAGGCCGTCGAGACCTGAACAACTCGGCTCTGCAGAAGCGTCTGGACTACCTGAACAACGTAACAACCATCATAGTCTTCGTCACCACAGGCCTCAACTTCTTCATTAGCACCTTCGGCATGCAGCGCACCGGATACTTCCCGTGGCTCATGATGCGCATTCACTGATGCGCACACAAACTATTTAGCCACACTACTATACACACACACTCGCAATAACTCATAAGATGCTACATGTAGGGGATAACTTTTGTCATAATTTATCTTAATACACTTGTATTTTAACAAACATGCTGAACATTCCTTATATTGACATTAACTTCTGTGCTGCATCATCTTCAGTGTGTCTCCATTTCTTTCTAGATGTTTGTCAAAGCAGTGAAAAAGAAACACATCTGAGCACTTTATTTTTCTCTGTTATACACAAAAACTTCACACATTTGCACACACACTACTGTTGAATTATGTAGTGAATTTGAATATTTAAATGGAAAAACCACTCTGCTAAACCGTATGTTAACATTTTTCTCCACTTTTATAAGTTACTGCTGCCATCTAGTGAAAGAAGCCAATATTACAGGCCCATTCCTCATTTAAAATCAGCTTTATCTAACAGCTGCTCAGAGGTCATGCAGTCTACTCTTCTGTTTTGCTGTTTTAATGAACTGCTGAGTCCAAAAAATAAAGAGCAAGGAGAAGGAAGTTGTTTCAGTATCTTCTATATATTTTCTATTTTATACTGTATGGTGTTGATTTGTGCTTTGCCACTGCTGTCTGATTTCTTTTCTTCATTTTCCACATGTTCCAGATTCTAGCAACAAACCGAAGGAGCAGCCTGGTGTATGTTCCTCCAGAATATTTGAACAATACATCAAAAAAAAGGTCATAGTGATGGAGTGAGGTGCGAAAATGTGCAAGGATGAGGCAGTAATATTACATTTTAAGGCTGTAAATAAACTTTAAGACACTAAAGATAGAAAGTGAAAGCTATAACATTCCTGAACAAGCAGTACGTTTTCCACACATCTTGCTGCCTTACACATTTTCAGACTACAAAACCTGCAAAATAATGAATACAGTCTCGAAAATATGATTATTTAAGGTCTATTTCTTTCTTATGAAGAATAAGTAATGCATAAACAACATGGAGCTCTTGGTGATGTTTTGGGTTGTTTGTGGTTCATGATGATTTTGTTCATTTTTGCCCTTTTGTGATCACGAAAATAAATGTAAAGACTAATAAAAAGAGAACAAAAAAAATCTCAAAAGATTTATTTACACATTAGAAAAATAAATATATCTACCCATTTTAGGTTGGTTCAGCTTGGAAAAGCAAGTTCTGCTAATTAAAAAATATGTGATTTATCTGCACTTTGGCTGAATAACAGTTCATAATAGTAATGGTAACGGTTTATGGAACATCTGCTGTCCTATGAAAATAAGAAAACATTAACATCCATTCACATTCACGAGTGTGATATATTCAGAAATCAAAACGTTTTCTTTTAAGATCTTGAGAAACATTTTCAGATGCTACTTTGGAGGACTTATTATTGATGATTAGGGCCCTGACAATTGTTCTCAAGTATTTGGCTTGGTATAGAGCTTGTTCTTAGAGAATACATAAAAAGGAGAAAAACAAGCAAAATGTGAACAGCAGGTAAAAATCACATGGAAGAAATGAAGCGTTAAATGAAGTGAACATGACAAAACAAGTTTAATAAACTTAAGATATTAAGTTGAATCAACCAGTCACGTAGACTCGCTTTTCTTTTGCATTTCTTATGTTAATAAAGAATAATAAGTCTAAGCTTTTATACATTGCATTGTGGGAAATCTGTATAAAAGCATAATTTGTAAAGTGGTCTGAAAATTAAAGTTAGACATTTTAAGTTAAATTAAATAGAAACGGGCACATTATGCATATTTACATTAAGTACATAAAGAAAACAGATGAGTTGATTCCACTAAATCCATTTATAATGCTTTACAGTGTAGATCACACGTTTATTTTTAGAAGAATTAAAGTGTGAGGACCAGTGATCCAGTGAAGGCACACCCTGATTTGTTTAGTAACTTTTTCCAGGGAGAGGAGGAGATGATGGGATGGATGTGGACTGTTTCCCGGGAAATGAAACGACACGCCTAAAAACGAAACTAAAGCGACAAACATCGTTTGTTGTCAGTCAGCACAGCTTCTCTGCAGGTAAAGTTCATCTGATCGGATTCCTTTTTCTTTAACTTTTACGCAGACATTGTACGTCTCTCCTGTTTGGTTTGCTATTATAGCGGTAAAATATGTATCTAGCAGTTTAAAATAACGGTGCAGATCGTGTGGAGATGAAAAAGAAAAGGAACATGTGATGATATAATAACGACTAACTCCTTACAGCAGATGAACAAACAATCTGTAGGTTGTGTTTTGCAGGAAACGCTGCTGCTTGTGTGTGTAATGACACACTGGGTGAAGTAATTACAGGCTGATTCTATTTGTAGTTTTACAGACATGTACATATACCAGCTAACGTTGTTTCCTTACAGTGTTGCTTTTGGAAATACTTGCCAGCATTCGTTACAATCCCCGTTTATGTCTCTGATTCTCACCATGAATCCATTTATAGCCCAAACTTTCAGCTTTCCTCCTAAAGTCAGTGTTTGAGGAAGAAGCATTTATTTCAGCTGGTGATTTTCCACAGGAAATTCTCCTTCTGTTACTGATTTCACCACCAGTGAGCCAGCAGCTGAAGTCTTCCACCATGATGTTGTTGTGGGGTTATTTCAGGACACTGTGAACAGGAATGGAGTTTTAATGTGAGTCTGTGGGTCATTCCTGTTGTGTCTCCCTCCAGCCTCATTTCACTGCTGTATCTATAATGTCTATAATCTATAATGGCAAGACTAATGCTATATTGGACTGCTGGGACCATCTGACCTATAGGTAGTTTGTCCTTAGGCCAACTAAAAGACTCCATGTCTCATTAATCCTGGGTGCTGTTGATATGCTTAATGTAAATTTGTGGCTCCATTGCCTGCATTAGTTTGTTGTTTATTGTTGTAATCCCTTTTTATTCTGTTCATATGTGAACCTCGGTGGGACAGTAAACCTCAATGGCTATGGCCTTGCCTCATTCCCTTCCCGTGATTCTGACATAACGCGTCGTAATAACTGGAAAATGTATTTAAAATTAGATTTAGAGTGAAATTCACTGTTTGGTAGAGTTTAATAAAAGGCTGAAACTAATGGAAAAATGAGTGCACATGACACACAGGATGTACAGGTGTTTAGGCAGGTGTTGCTCACTGAATTCAGCCTACAAGGCATCTATAGCAACATACAAATAGCTACGAAAGACAGGTGTCAGATAAAAGCAATATTTCTGAACAAACCAAACTCATACATGGGGAAATGTTACTAAAAATGTATGCTGCTTTTCGATTTTTAATTTTTTCTTGAACTTCTAAACCATAACCCTTGTATTTTTTTTCTCTCCTTGTAGACATGTCCTCCTTTGACCCCCGACGTGAAGATCAGCCCAAGTGTACAATCTGTCAGGATGCGTTCACTGAACCCGTCTCCACTCCTTGCGGACACAACTTCTGCAAGGCCTGTATCACCGGGTACTGGGACAGCAGTGACCGGACACAGTGTCCTCTCTGTATGCAAAGGTTCTGCAGCAGACCGCAGCTTCGGGTCAACACGGAGTTCAGAGATATGGTGGAGCATTTCAACAGCTTGATGGTGGCGGGTGGAGACAAGAGCCTCACCAAACCAGAGGAGGTTCCCTGCGACGTCTGCAGTGGACCGAAGTTCAAAGCCCAGAAGACGTGTCTGGTGTGTTCGACCTCGTACTGCCAGACTCACCTGGAGCCTCATCAGAGAGTTGAAAGGCTCAAGAGGCACAAGCTGATCAATCCTGTGTCGAACCTGGACAACAGGGTGTGCAAGAAGCACCACAAGATGTTGGAGTTCTTCTGTTGCTCGGACCAGGAGTGTGTCTGTCTCATGTGCTTGAAAGACGGCCATGTGACGCACAAAGCTGTTCCTTTAGAGAATGTGTTCAGAGAGAGGAAAGCCTGGCTCGAGAACACGACGTCAGAAATGACTATAATAGAAAATGATAAATTCGTGAGTGCTCAGGAACTTAAATACTCAGTTCAACGCAGGAAGGAAGAGTCACAGAGGGAGATCGCAAACATTGCTGATCTTTTAGGTGCTCTGGTTGGAACTCTGCTAAAAAAACAGATGGAGCTGGTTGCGCTGATCGAGGAGAAGCAGATAGCAGCCGAGACACAAGCCGAAGTCCACATAACACGGCTGAAACAAGAGGCTGCTGAGCTGAAGAGGAAAAGATTCGAAATGGAGCGACTCTCGCAAACAGAGGACCACCTCCACTTCCTGCAGAGCTGGTCATCGCTCGGTTTCCCAGCACATGCTGAGGACCTACTCAACCCCCTGTCCCACTACAACCCTCCATTTGCAACAGACTTCTTTGACGTCGGTCGGCAGACATATGTGGGGATGGTGAAAAAGTCAGTTGCTCTGATGGAAAAGACACTCGGTAATGAGATGGAGATGCTTATTCACGAGGTCAGGCTGTCTGATGGCTGTGAGGCTGGTGCAGCTGAAAAACCAATGACAGATGGTTTTATTCAGGAAGTGTGGAATCCGCCTCAGGACAAGCTGATGATGATCCAGCAGTGCAACGCCGTGAACGTGACTCTGGACACCTTTTCCGCCTGTTCCAGACTCATGGTGTCTGAGGAAGGGAAACAATTGGCGTTCCGTAAAAGCGGGCTATGTTTTCCTGCTTTACTCGGAAGAAACTTTGAATATCGACCTTTTGCTCTTGCAACAGATGGTTTTTCCTCAGGCAGGTTCTACTATGAGGTTCAGGTCAGTGGGAGCAAATGCTGGCTCTTGGGTGTCGTCAAAGAGTCTATTGACCGGATGATAGTGTCCGATCCCGTGCCTGAGGAGGGAGGCTGGACGTTAAGTGCAAGGTACACCTTGTTTGACGAGGTATATTCTGCGAATGCCAGCAGCGGTCCTCTGCCGTACGTGTTGCAGAGGCCCCAGACGGTCGGTGTGTTTGTCGATTATGAGAAGGGAGAGATTTCCTTCTATGACGTGGATGCCAGGACTCTGATGTACTCCTTCACAGGATGCAACTTCACTGAGACAACACCTACACTGAAATCGTTTCTGTATTCTATGGCAGGCACTTCTGTAAGCAGCAGACCAAAACTCTATCCTTTTTTTGGAATCTTTGGAGATGACCCCGACAACATGCTCAGAATCACTCCTGTATGTCACGCAACTTAAGGTGCCACATATAGCAGGAGTAAGTAACATGTCAATGTTATTCAGAGATTTCCTCCTCTCAGATTTTAAATGTACAGCTCAGTTTATTAATATGAACGCATACATGTGGTAATCAATATATACGGCAATGGATGTAATAGCATCACAAAAAGACAATAAACCTCAGTGTAGTACATAGATATTCTTTATATATGTGTTTTTCAAGCCATTTGAACTCATGGTTCCAAGAAGTACAAAGTTATATACATACATGTTGCAATACCTCTGTTGTACCAGAGGGTGGCACCATTGTTCAAATAAATGGTTCTGGTCTCAGAGGCTCAAAGGTATCCATATATGTATAAATAACTAAATAATATCTGGACTGTGGCATCACGGGAAAGCAACTGCATTTGAGAACCACTTTAATAAAATGCTTTTCAGGTATGATTTAATGTTATAGTTGCAGCTAACAAGTTTGCAGCTGTTATCCGTGACTATTCATGTTTTTCTCATCGTCTTCAAAAATCTTTTGTGATCAGGTATGTCTGAATTGAAGCATACATTTGTAAAAGTACCACATGTAAGATAGAAATGTTAATTACGACATGATACATGCATAGAAATGTTTCTTTGTTTTATTTTTGTCATTATTTGTGAATGCCAAGACCATCATCTGGCATATGAGGTCCAATCACATTGGATTTTTTTCAATAAAAGAAGCTTTAAAATTGTATGTTTTATCCATCATGCACATGATCTGTATTCAACTGTTTAATAAAAGTGCATTTCTTTAAAAAATACCTCTCCATGCTTATTTTGTTGTGTTCCCCTACACTACATAGTTGTTTATAGAGAACTCCTTTAAATCACATACCTATTGTCACACAGTTAAAACAGGGACAAAAAACATCCAGAAACTGCTTTGAGTTCAGAGGATTAAAAGATTAATAAGACTTGTGGCTTCGATCCCATACCTTTATATGCTACTGATTCAATTTAGTGGAGTAATAATATGAGAATAAAGTTTTATTTACCTAAAAGCCTTGTTACAAATCTTTAGTGATTAAAAACAAACAACAAACAAACACATAAGAGCCACTGGCAATTAGAATAACCAGTAAAAATAAATTCTCCCTGTTTGTTCGGTTAACAGACGCCGTTCAGAAGATCCCGGTGGTCCACCACTCCTGATGTGTTTCTCTCAAGGGGAACTTTAGCCAGCAGCCTATTTATACCTCAGCTGTCTGTCTGACTGGCGCCCAGGGAACTGGGACACTGTAAATGTGTGTGTTTGTGTGCGTGTGCACGTATGTGTGTGCGTTTTCCTCGGTGTCTAGTTGGAGCGATTTCTTTAGGTTGATGTGTAATTGTGTGTGAGAGAGACAGACAGTCGACGACGACAGGGACCTGAGAGATGAGAGCGAACAGCTCGGAAATGTGTCACACACTCCGGTTTGATACTGTATGTAGGTCATTCACTCATCAAACACACCGAGAACATGTCATAGATATCTGACATAGCATCACGCTGAAACCTTGACAGACATATTCAGTGAAAGTGAAGAAATAAGTGAGTGTAAATCACCTGACAACAGGTTTAATATTGCTACAAATCAAACGGACTGAGTTTTAAACTGGTTGTGGGTAAAAACTGACTCAAGGCTGTGATAAATCTACACCTGAGGGGTATTTATTGACCTATATCTACAACTCACACTGATGTAGCTCAACATTGCTCATCTCCAGTCATTATTCCCTCCTATCTTGGCCTCCTTACTATCGAGCTGAACAAACAGTCATAACACATTCAAATCCTTTGTGTGATAAAATCAATTGAGATCCATTATTGTACATTCACTCATTTTTTTCTTTATTTTGAACATATTAAAAGAAAAGGAAAAAACAATATGTATAAATAAAAAATAATATTAATAACACTTCATGTGAGTGACAGATAAAATACATAATACCTACATAACCATATCTATATATACATACATATAATCATGTACCTACATACACACCCACATACATTCTGTTGCCACTCCATGAATAGTTATTGTAAATCTGGATAATTAGAAGAAAAAAGGCTGTCAAACCATGATATTAGGCTCCATCCTGTTCTTAATAAACTTGATTTGGACTCTGGTTCTGGTGGTAACAACAGCATGCTGGTTATGTGACGTTTCTCACAGCTGAACATTAGAGCTGTTGTAGTAAAAGCTCTGGTGCTGCTCATGACTTGTACAGTGTTTCTGAGCCAGCAATCACTGCAGTGCAATAGAGCATTTGTTACACTTCTGTTTGACAGGTCAAAATGTGTGCTGGGTTCACTTTGGCCATGAACTAGTTTTGAAACAAACCAAACAATGATCGAGATAACGGAGCTGATTAGACAGTTACATAGAAGTTATTCAGAAGTCTCTGTGTTGCCCTGTTGTTGTACTGTAAGTGCAAACCTGTTACCTTTGTGACATAAATTCTGAGATGATTCGTTGTTCTTGAGTGCATGTAAATATAAGATGATTCTCCCACATGTGGTATATATTTATGTTCATGCACTATCCTGAGCCTGATCTGAACCAATGGTAGAATGTCACAAAGTGCATTTGTTATCATACTACACTTAAAGTTTGGATGTACTTAACCTTCAATTTGAGATGTTCCACTTCGTAAATATTAAGAAATAAAAACACTTTAAGACTTAACACTATTTCTTTGGATTCTTAAGTATATTCTGCCATTAATACCTTTGTACCCTTTACATGAATCAGACTTTTACTGCAGGCTTTTACTTATGATTGAGTATTTTATTTTGTTGTCTATCTGTTTTTATCTTGGAATGTTTCTTCCACCACAAAATATATAAGAAGACAACACTGTGTCTTTCCATCCTGACCTTTTCGTCAGATCCTTTATGTAGGAAAAAATGCTCAAGTCAGTCTGTCGCGAGTACACGAGGTACATTAGTATGTACTGCACTGTAAAAACAACAACAAAAAACTCAAACAAAACGCTTGCTGGGGTATCAGTGTTAGATTCTAGTGGTATTTGATAAACATAATGTGATAAAAAAGAATCAAATCACTGACAGCAACTGTAAAATTTAAAAAATATATATTAATTTAAATAAACTGCAAAAACAATAAATTCAGATGTTCTTTTTTATCATATGTTATTCAGAGAAACTATTATTTTACAGATTTTTTCCAAATTATTACAATTAAACACCCTCAATAATCTGACTAATAAACACCTTCAATAAAATCCCGAAGCTCTTACACAAGCAAGAAAACTTATTATATATAGAAATTTAGGCTTTTTAATTTCTCCATAAATTAAAAAAAAAAAAAAAAACTTCTTTTAAGATATGATAAGCCTCATGAATCCTGCAACAGGGGAACTTGCAGTGTTTTAGAAGAAAATTAAAAAAAAAGCAATAAATATACACAAGTACAGATGATATCGTAAAAATGTTTCATCATGTTCAGATACTGCACAGATTCTTCTACAAATGGAAAATAATATTTACATATATCAGTTTAATATATAAACACAGACAAACAGAATAACAAACAGTTTTTTATCCCAGAGCCATAACAACACCAAATACTGCTGACTGATGATTTTACATTTGAAATACACGTTTCCAGGCATCATGTTTTTAAAAAAATAGATAGATTTTCAGTGCAATTACAAGAGTATGGTGGTAACTTGTATGAGTGTGGCTCACTTTTTAGAGTTTGGTTAGTATCATTATGTCCCCCCAGCGAGGGGCATCTGTAGAGTAATCAGCCCCGTCTGTGGGTCAGTGTGTCTGTGAACAGTATCTCTGTCGAGTACTAAGGTCTGACAAGCTGATATCTTACAGGTGAGCTAGGAATGGCCTCTCCTCAGAATGATTAGATTTTGGGG